TATATATATATATATATATATATATATATATATATATATATGCATATAGGTACCTCTACAGACATGCTACAAAATAACCATACATGATGAGAAAATGACCCAAACTTAATAAAAAATAATTTTTTATCGTCAAAATCTTTATTTATTATTAAAATGAAAGACCAATTTTTTTCTGATTAAATCATATTTTTCATCCTTTTCAGAACTTTCGTAATTTTGATTAAAAATTTTGTTTTTCTTGTGTCAGTGGCGGGAGTATAAATTAGTCTAGGAAATTTTAGCGTTTTTTTGCCGTAAAAAATATTGATTTGGAAATTCTTGCTAGAATCCAAAAAAATTTCGTATTTTAATGAGCCTTTTAGGAATTATTCACAAATTAGTAAAATTATTTTAGAAATGTTTCTAAAAATTTTTGTAAAAACATTTTCTTTACATATGTTACCCCCCCACTTATATAATTTTTTGAAATTTCGAAAAATTTATTTTTGTACGGTTTAATGTTTATATTAGTTATAAGCATCATTTTTTTTTTTGAAAGTTACCGAAAATCTGTTCTGAATCGTAAAATAAAAAATCCAATAAAACTAAAAAGTTTACATATCATGCTTATTATAAAACCCAGGTTGTGTGTGTGTGTGTGTGTGTACGTTTATATATTTGATCGGATTTCCTACATTTTTCAACCGATTTCAACAAAACTTCACAGGACTACGTAAAATTACCTTGCGGTGGTTCTGACGGCGCCAAAAATTGGAAAAACACAATTGTTTTTGAACGAAATCAATTTGAAAACACGATTAAGAGGCATCACTGTCGCGAGAATGGAAGGGGGACAACTCATATCGAGTTATACTTATTATAAAACCCAGGTTGTTTGTGTGTGTGTGTGTGTGTGTGTGTGTGTGTGTGTGTGTGTTCGTTTATATATGGGAGCGGATTTCCTACATTTTTCAACCGATTTCAACAAGACTTCACACTTTTTTTGGCAGGTAGTGTTTCTTATTGTCTTGCACACTTTTTTCTTTATTTTTACATTCAGAATGCTTTAAAAATTCCATTTACAAGACAATTGTTTATAATAAAATTCTATTCAATCGGTAGACTCATAACGATTGAAAACAATGTTTTCAATCGGTAGACTCATAACGATTGAAAACAATGTTTTTGTTTGAGTTTGGGTTTGACCAATTCGTAAAAAAAAAAAAAAAAAAAGCAAAACAAAAAAAAAATCTAATTAAGACATGCGTGTCCGTCAACCTTAAACATCTTTGTCAATTTTATTTTTCAGTCTTTATGATGGTCGATATTTGATCTATCTCTTACTGTTACATCCCCGGGCAACACCGGGCTCTACTGCTAGTAATATATAAAATTATATATATATATTATAAAAATTATAAAAGGTTTTAATGAATAAGATATATTAAGGGTGCTTTTGTATTAAGGAAAACATTTTTTTTCAAAGAATAATGAATTTTTACAAGAATTTTTTCATTTTAATTATAATCATTATAAAGTGTTAAATCTTTTAAATTTCTGTATGAATTTGTGCTGGTTAAGTGATATTTTTAAATACAAATTATATTTATTAATTATAAATGGAAAAGCTTAGTACAATTTTGATATATTTTTTTTTGTATGCGTATAAACGTGAGGATTTTTATAAATACGGATGTTCATACACGACATTATCAGAAAATAAGAGCGATAAATATAGTAACTTCCAAGCCAAAGTATCTGAAAATAAATAAAACATTAGATTAAGGAGATTATTTTCCTAAATTTATGAGATTACTGGATATTTAAAACTTATATAAAAAAGGCGCTCACGTTATATTCCTCAAGTAATTTTTATAGATATGTCCCACTTAGAAAAATCTAATCAAAATGCCTTCCCCTGTGTTAAAAATGCATTTCTGTTATATTTTAAATTAAAAGTAATATTTCTTTCACGTCAGATTAATTAAACTTTAAATTAGTTAATATTCCCCAAATAAAGTTTCAGAAAAGTATATTTTATTTTTGAAAGATTTTCTTATAACGAGAATTACATTGTGCTAACAGATGGCAAAAAATGAGCGATTTCAAAAAATCCTTTCAGTCAATCTAAATTAGTTTTTGAAATACAGGGAAGGATTTTGCTTATTGGAAATATTATATTTAATCATTTAGCTTCAAATTAAAATTAAAAATTAAAGCTTCAAGAAAGATTTTTCATTTTTAAAAATTAATTTTAAACCTTAGGTATCGTTAGAGTTACCTATGCATATGGTGTCCTCCATAGATTGCCTGACTTTTCGACCAACTTGATAAATATTTATGAATGTTCTTAAATTTATAAATTTTGAAAAACCAAGAGCATTTTTTCTCTTGTATCTAAATAAAAAAATAAAATCCTTTCTTTTCTCTTGATGAAGTCCTTCAGAAGATGAAACCCGTCGGCTAAAATAGTTTTTTCTTATGCCTTTATTCACATATACGGGAGAACATGATAAATACATTTTAAATATATCCGCAGAATGTTAGGCAATTGAATGACAAAGTGGCAAAATCTTTTCATATTGTCTTGTACTCTAAAATGAGTTCATCGAACTAAATTAATGTTTTTATTGATGGAATTATATGTGGGCGTGGATGAGCGGGGGGGGATATAAAATTACTTTAGTCTGATGAAGACCCTTTAGAGGATAAAACGCGTTAGACAGATTTCAATTGCCTACTATACATATATATATATATGTCTGTGTGTGCGCGCACGCGTGTATATATATATATATATATATATATATATGTGTGTGTGTGTTTGTTTGTGAGTACTGTCACGTACACACAAAATTTGAATGTGTATATGTATAAATATGTGCGTCTCTGTGTGTGTATGCGTGTGTGTGTCTGTGTGTGTGTGTGTATATAAATTTCCTTACGGAAATTCATGATCGTAGGTACTTTGCATGTATTGGTGGCGCCCGTCCGCGCCAGCAAGACCCCCTAACCACTGCCATTCCTCACCAACTCAGCGATCGCACTCCCAGACCCCACCATCGCCCATCGACAACACCGGATATTATCGGCCCTATCTACCGCTGGCTTTTCGGCCGTCGCCACTAGATGGCGCTTCCGTATCTCAGTGCAATCAAGATGTCTGCAGCGATGTTACGGTCTGCAATGCATCATTCCTTCGAAACTATTTCCTTTCTCTTTTTCTGCCCTGGCTCCCTCTGCCCTTCCCCATCTCGATTTCAACCCCTCACCCCACCGCCCTTCCCTCCATACCTTATCCTCCTCCTCCTCCTCCTCTGATCCCTACTTCGAATGCTTATCACCGGCCATTTATCATCTCGTGTGGATAACGAATTAGCATGATATATAATATTCAAAATATTTTTTTAAATGCCGATGGCTAGGCTGAAAAGAGTAGAAGACAAAGAAAGAAAGGGAAAGTGAAGAATAGAAAGGGGGAGTGTAGAAGGGGGAGTGTAGAAGGGGGGCGTAGAAGGGGATGTAGAAGGAGTAAAGATGATGATAAATAACAAATGAGAAGAAGAAAGAAAATGGTAAAATATAGAAAAGAAAGAATAAAATGGAGATATGGAAAGGGAGTAGAAAATGCAGAAAAAGAAAGAAAGAAAGAACGAACGCTGAAGGTGAGATTTTGAATCAGTAACCAAAAGATAAAAACATGTCTCGCCGTGGCGCAATAATTAGCAAACCTGCCGAGCATATTATTAATACTAGAGTGAGTTTGATAGAAACAAAGAAAAGAGTACTGAACAATTACGTAATATCATTCATCCTATATGACGGTAAAAGCTGGACAATTTCCTCACAGATGAAGAAGAAACTTATAGAAATGTGGCTCTACAGAAGGATAATGAGAATTCCCTAGACCGAACATGTGAGTAACGACGAAATTTAAAAAAAAAAAAAAGTAACAAACGGTGGAGTAATGGATAGCGGCGCGGATTGAAGAATCGGAGATCTGAGTTCAAATTCCAGTCGAACCCATTACATTCCCTGGCTAATACCCTTGGGAAAGGCATGAATCATATTCTTCTTCTATTTGCTATGGGCAAATAGCAGGATAGACCGGGTTCTATAGCCTTGAATGGCAACAGTTCTACCGAAGAAAGAAATGGCAACCTACTGCGGGAAAAAATCTGCCTCTTCAGTCATGTATTGAAAGATACATGATCGCCAACGCGTGTATCACATATGATACATAACAAGACATTTAACATTGAAATTTCTACAACACATAATGAGGAAAAAGGGCTTGGAAAATTTGATGCCCACGGGACAAATTGTAGGCAACAGGGGAAGAAAACCAACGCGTAACCTGCCTAACGAGCTTGTGTAAATGAGTTGCAGAACAGGTTTAAGGTGTTTATAATAAATAAACTCGAAACAAAAATTTGGAGAGCTGAGTTCAAATTCCAGCCGGGTTCGTTAGATTCACATACGCACAAATACACTTGATAAAGCTAGGAACCCATCTCTTCTCCCCCATCTATGGGTTGAATAGCAGGCAAGACTGGGTTCTATAACTTTGGTCTTCAACCAGCCTACCGCAGTTAGAAACAGCAGCCTTCTACAGGAAACTCTTCTGCCTAGCCAGTCGTGAATCGAAAGAGACATGATCGCCCAATCGTTTATCAGTTAAGTCTTACTGTGCAAACTGTTTTTGTCAACCACTCGGTAGTCCTGGGTAGGACGATAAACTGCATCCGGCATCAAGTCTCCTGATAGGGATATTGGAGGTTTTGAAAAGCGCGAGACCATCTCTTAATAAAACATTTTCAGATTGTAAAAATTTTAGGCAGATAATGATTTATTGATAGACCCTGGTATTTAATCCATAGCTAGGGGGAAGATGTGGATTCATACCATTGCCAAGGTCATTTGCGCCTAAATGAATATAACGAACCCAACTGGAATTAGACCTCGACTATCCGATTACCAAATCCGAGCCGTTATACATTACATCCGCTCGCACATGCAAGATTACGGTACCTGGTATTCCCAAGCTGTCATCCCTCTAAGTACTAACCAGGCCCGACGTTGCTTAACTTCGATGATATTACAAGAACCAGTGCTTCAAAGTGAATAATTTAGACGATACGTTAGTGATCTTATAGTAGTGATAGATTTCATTGGGTATTGAGTAGAATAGATCGATTTACTTTAATTTATAATATCGGAAACATGGGGAATAATTTTAGGCAAATGCAATAAAAGGTTTTGAGAACCGCATGTTTATTATCGCAACGACCAAGATGAAATTTTTTTTTCTTTTTTTCAGTTCTGAAAATTCTTCCCAAAAAGTGTAATAATTTCCTTCTTGAGGTGTTTTAATTTAATGCGAATTGCGATTATACCATAACTAGGATTACGATAATTCCCTGGTAATGGTCACCTGCTAATTGCCTGCTAATAATTCCCTGCTAATAATTACCTGCTAATTATCTGCTAATAATTGCCTGCTAATAATTACCTACTACTAATAAAAAAAAGTAAATCTTTAATAATTTTGCCAAACATATATATATTTATGATATATTTATATTAAGAAAAACATAGACGAAATAAAGGCTTACGGCATTGTCATGCTGATCACTAAGATCACTAAAGTTAAGCAACGTCGAGACTAATCAATACCTAGATTAGTGACCGCTTGGAAATATCAAATGTTATAGCTTGGATGTGTGACAGTTGTAATGGATAGCGCGCTCGGAATTGGACATTCACAAATTTCAATCGGGTTCGTTATATTCATTTGCACGCAAATACCCTTGAGAAAGGTGTGAATCCTTCTCTTATCCCTCCAGCTATGGGTTAATTAGTAAGACTTGCATCAGTAAATCATTATTATCTCCTAAAATTTCATACAATCTAAAATATTTTCATGCTTTAAATAACTTATAAAATGTTGATAAACCGTAAAAAACCCCAAATCAATCGCGTAATAGACGAAATGTAATATCTATCTATATTTCTGCGATGAGGTATTGTAATTATTTGCACTATTTACATTGTTTGAACTGTTTTCCTCATCTTTGTTGCCATGGCCACGACGTTTAAACAGTTATACGCTCCGGCATTCTTCTATGCCTGTCTCTATTTCTGCGATGAGGTATTGTAATTATATACACTATTTACATTGTTTTGACTGTTTTTCTCATCTTTGTTGCCATATTCAGGACGTTTCAGCCGTTGTACGCTCCGGCCTTCTTCTATACCTGTCTTTATTTCTGAAATGAGGTGTTGTAATTATTTGCACTATTTACATTGTTCCTCATCTTTGTTACCATATTCATGACGTTTCAGCCGTTGTACGAAATTCCAATCACCTGAAGAAGGCCGGAGCCCGTAATGGCCGAAACGTCGTGAATATCGCAACGAAGATGAGGATAAAAGTCCGAACAATTTAAATAGTGAAGATGAAATACAATTAAAATAATAAAAAAATAAAATAAGGACAAATTTTGATGCAAACATACTTTTTTAAATTAACGAAACAATTTGAGGAAAATATTATTTTTGACGGGCATAAAAATATTGAATTGTTCGGGCGAACTCTTCGCTATAGTACCTAGTCTTTACAAATTTAAGCGCAGTACTAGATTGGCGGTAAGGTCTCATTAATTCAGATTTGATTTGTCTAAATGTAACCGTAAGTTTTATGCTAACAATTTCTTCTCTCGCACTTCTCACTTGTGGAACATTCTTCTGGCTCCATGCTTTCCATCAGACTTTTTAGGCTAAAAAATTTAGATGCAATGTCAATCGTTATCTGTTGTCTTCTTGATTACTCTTCTATTTTCTCGCTCCTCAATAATGTTTCTCTTTTTTCTATTTCCTTCATAAACAGTAACCTTAGTGGCTTTATTGCCTTGATTGGGATTGACTGATTAAAAAATGTGGTGTTAGGTATAAAGTATCTGATACATAACAGCCTTTCCCCTTGCTTTACGAAATTTCGCCTAACGCTACTTTGCTTTTTTCGATAAACCATATATAAATGCGCGTTTTTCGCTAACCGATTTTCGATTTTACGTGTGTGATGGGTGGGAAATAGAAGAGGAAAATAGCATCCGACATTTGTTCTGTAGAGAAGCCGAAATAGAGACGACGGGAGTGACGCCACGAGGCTTCTTCCCTGCTGACTAAACTCAGGCTTTTAGCACCAAACCCAATGTAGCTTTGAAGTGTTTCTCTAAATATCTATGTTTACTCTTCCTTTATTTTATACATCCGTCAACAAGATGCTTGAGGTTAGGCAGTCAAACATATTGTCGAATTTCAAATGTTCCACATCAGCCATAGTAGATAATGAACTTTGACCTTTGACATCAAGATAAGGAAGAATGTTATTCTGGGGGTCTGGAAAAGCTCAAAATTGCTCTCCTTATAAATGAATAGTAACGGCTTATTTTTTTAAAGGCTCAAGATCCACTCAAGGTAGAGCTTTGTTAAATGAGTTTTTAAGGATGTTTAGTGGGTGATAATTATGAGGATTTATAGGATAAATAACGGTTGACTCTCGACTTGAAGATGTTAAGATTATTGTGATCGCGAAAGCGTTCTTTTGGGAATCCCTTCTCAAAGGCAACAGTACTAGGGAAGAATTGGTTCGTGTGGAACATCCATCTCACTCATAGATTATGATGGGAATGGGGGGGTGAGGTTGACTCAGTGTGTGTGGACTGGCGAGTCCTAGCTCGAAGGTCTGTATTCGGCGGAACCATTGATTGTAGTCGTGGTAGGGTAGCGAGAGGCGTGTAACGTTTTGTCTCTGGGGGGAGGGTTTGTAGTGTGGAAAATAATCCATCACTCCCAAGGCCGCGCAAAGGTTTTTGAAGGCGGGAAAATTATGATTGGGCAGCTCCAGTCCAAATGTGTCAGCCAAGAGCCGAGTTCGAATTCCAGTTGGTTTCGTTACATTCACTTACATTCAAATACCATTTGGAAAGGCATGAATTGCTCTCCTTCTCCCATTTATGGGTTAAATAGTAGGATATGTATCTGAAAAAATCTTTGTTATTCCCCCCACAAAATAATTAACATAATATTCCTTTGCCTAAGAAAGAAATCATACAATCTAAAATAGATTTTGGCTTTAAATAATCTAAAAGGTTATTAAAACGTAAAAAAATCAATCAAACAATGTTCCAGTACCTATCTCTTTCCAACTTCAATCGTCAGGATGTAGGTAATCCTGACTCCCAACATATTCTTTTCTTTATTATCTGTGAATTTTTATGCATTCTTGGAAATGATAGTGGAGTCTGTCTATATATCTGAGATGATGTATTGTAAATATTTACACTATTAACAATGTTCGGACTGTTGTCCTCATCTTTATTGCTATATTCACCTTCAACATCTGTCTCTATTTCTCTGATGATGCATTGTAAATATTTACACTATTTACATTGTTCAGACTGCTGTCCTCATCTTTATTGCCATATTCACCTTCAACATCTGTCTCTATTTTCGAACAATGTAAATAGTGTAAATAGTTACAATACCTTATTTCAGAAATATAGATAGATATTAAAGATGAATATGGCAATAAAGATGAGGACAGCAGTCCGAACAATGTAAATAGTGTAAATAGTTACAATACCTCATCACAGAAATAGAGATAGATGTTGAAGGTGAATATGGCAATAAAGATGAGGACAACAGTCCGAACATTGTAAATAGTGTAAATAGTTACAATACCTCATCTCAGAAATAGAGACAGATGTTGAAGGTGAATATGGCAATAAAGATGAGGACAACAGTCCGAACAATGTAAATAGTGTAAAAGGATGGTGGAGTGCTTTCTTTTGCCTTACCCACGATTGGGAATTCAGAGTTTTCCTTCTTTTAAATTGATTGTCAATTAAGTTTAGAGAGTTCAGTCTATTCTGTTATTTAACCCATAACTGGGGGAAGAGACAAATTCATACCTTTTTCAAGGACATTATTGCGAAAATGAACGCAGCAGACTAACCTGAAATTTGAACTCGACTCCTCGATTTCACTTTCTGCGATGTTATACAACTCGCACATTCACTTTAGACATATATCATATTTTTCGGTGTATAAGGCGCATTTTTGACCCTATAATTTGATGTTAAAATCTGCCTGCGTCCTATACATCGAAGTTATAATATTATATAAGAAAAGACTCTCTCTCTCTCTCTCTCTCTCTCTCTCTCTCTCTCTCTCTCTCTCTCACACACACACCCGCACGCATACACACACTGCTGGGCAAGATCTTACGCTCAATGAAAATTTAAAAAATATAACTTTTGTGCTGTTAGAATCAATCACTTATTTCAGCTTAAAAAAATGAAAATAATAAAAATATTTTTATCATTTAATCAGATGTGTCATAAGTTCGAAAGCATAGAGTAATCAATGGGGATAGGATTCGCTATTCAATCGTAATTGACCTAGAGATATAAGATTGTTAACCATTACACCACATCGAAGGACACAATTGCATTAATAATATAAAGACAATAATATCAAAATCCGCTCGTCGGGGTTTCATGTAATAACAATCATCAGGAAACACAGGGTTATTGAAAAGTAATTCCCTATTTTATGTATGATGGACTCTCCCGTCTTGTAAAAATTATAGTTAAATGGGAGAGTCCATCATACATAAAACATGGAGTTCATTTTCAATCACCCTGTACAATAATAAAGTTTATATCCGCCTGATGATTTTTATTGCATGAAACGCTGAAGAGTGGATTTCGTTATTATTGTCTTGATAATATTTTTATAATATATTTAAGTTCTGAAGACTTTGGCATTGAGTCTTCAGTATATTTTGTATTTTAGGCTTTTGGTTTATTTTAGACATTACCATTTATTCTTACAATTTCTATATACACTGCTGGCTAAATTCTTAAGGCCAATGAAAATAAGAAAAAATATACTTTTTGCATTGTTAGACTTTTTTTCAGTAAATCTTAAAAAAACGAAAATAAGAAAATTAAAAATTAAAAACGTTTTTAGCATTTAATTGAGAAAATTTGAATACTGGGAAATTAGTCTAAATACTTGCTGGTGAAAAGTTTAAGGCCAGATTTAAACGAC